TTCGTTGTTCAGTAAGTAACTTGTTGAAATACCCTGTGCTGAGAATTCTATATTGTACCAAAATACAATATTGAATAAGGCCATTAATAATAATAATAATAATAGTTTTGAAAAGTAAGCAGCAAATAAAGTTTTATGCATTTGATTTCAAATTTCAATACATATTCAAAGAAGTGTCACACTATTCTCTTGGAAATGATGTTCTGAACAATATTCAAAACAATTTCGAAAATAACTGAGATCTTTCATTGACCGTCAATTAATTTTAAGGTGTAAATGTTTCCTGGATTTCTTATATGCCGAAATGGCATGAGAACTTCGAAATTTTCCCAAAGTTTTCTATATCGGTTTCCCCTCAAATGGGGAAATTGGGACGTCGTAAAAAATTATTTTAAAAGAAACAGTTAGCTGTAGTCAAGTTAGACAGAAGTAGTAAGCAATGTCCATGACAGTAACAACAACTCACTTGCATGGACTGGAATTACACTCATCTCCTGTTCGTAATTTTCGCACAGTACTTAGCGGCCAGTCATCAGTAATAAGGATAGTAGGTTGGTGGACATTTGAAGGTCTAGCTTCCTCATGAAAATGTTCACTGGTGGCGCTGATACCACTTGTTCGGGTGAGGCGTTACAGTCATTGACCACTCGATGAGAAAAACGGAACCGCACTCTCAGGTTATTAGATCACATTTTTGAACCTTCTTGTTACAGCCTCAAAGATCGTTAGGGCTGAAAGAAGCAGAAAGATAGAACATATTATCACCGAAATCGTAATTAAAGGTACGGAATCCTAAGTGTTTCGAGCGCTCATCGTAAGGGAGTTTAGAAAGACCTTTTACCAATTTTGTTCCCACACGCTGAACACGCTCAAGTGAGTTGGTATCCTGAATCAGATATGGACCAGATGCTTGAACACAGTACTCTAGGTATGATCTTACATAGGTGGGATATAAAATTCGAAACATCTCGTCAGAGTATTTGAATACTCAGAGACGCGACCATAATGCACCGAAACCCATGGTAACAGCAGCGTTGCAGTGCGTAGTTATTTTCTAGTCGTAACGTACTATTACTCCTAAGTCTCTATGTTTCTGGACACATGGAATAGATGTACCATCAATAGCATGCCGGTAACTATTACCATGTCCGATGTGCATGAGCATGCTTTTTCAAAAATAATTTATAAGTCTCAACACTGAGACCATCTAACTAATTCATTTAGGTCGGCTTGGGGCCTAAAACGATCAGTGTCACTTAAAATTGTTCTCCAGATTTTGACATCATCCACAAACAATAGTGTCGACGACTCAAGCAATAGCGGTAATTCATTGGCGTAGAGAAAGAATGGTAAGGGATCTGAGATGGTGCGTTGGGGAACACCATGTGTGACCGGTTTCCATTCGGACAGCATTCAGTTAGCCCTCATTCTCTGTCTGAATTCACATAGGAAGTTTCCTATCCATTCTTGTACAGCATCTGTTGTTCAGAAGTGCGAGAACTCCTCCATAAGACCTAAGTGTGAAACCTTGTCAAACGCTTTGCCAAAATCTATGAATATTACGTCGACAGACAGTCCGTTATCTAGGGCTGTTGTCCGATCGTCTCTCTCAATAGATACGATAGTCAAGCTGGAATTCTTGTTTCGAAACCCGTGTTGCTTGGGAGCTAGCAGATTGTATGAATCTATATTACTTAGTAACTTAAACTGAACCATCTTTTCAAGTAATTCAACTATTATGTTGGTCAGACTGACAGGTCGGTAGCTAGATATGATATGTTTCTGACTGACTATAGCATCTCTCCAATCTCTAGAGGGTTGAGAGAGTGAAAGGGACGTGTTGAAGGGCTCCGCAACTGGTCTAAGTATAATGTTCATAAGAGATGACAGAAGTCGTGGATTTAACCCATAACAACCCGGTATCTCACAAGGTTTGAGGTTAGTGATCAATGGAAGAACAGTTTCCCCAATCACATAAACAGGCTCTATGGCTGGTATATCGATGCGTTTAGAACAAGTATTTTTTGACAATATACGTCGAGTAGACTTCGCTAAAATAGTTTGATAAAGTTTCAGCTCTTGCCAGATTTGATTCAACTAGTAAATCTGAATTTTTGTGCAACGGTAATGAGAGAATACCACCACTACGTTTTGTTCTCCGTTAAACGTATGAAAATAATGGTTTTGAACAAGCACAGTTATCATATGCCAACTGTCTTTCGTAAATAGCACGGCGTCTAGATATGGTCTTTTTACATATATTCCGGATTTTTCGGTATTCATATTTAAATCATTCGTATCATTGTATTTCTGTAGGCAAGCTCGCAGTTTTGTGACAAAATGTTAATCCGTTTGTTCTGAGTATCATTTTGTAAAGGATGGAAACCAAAGTTAGTTTTTTGGATGAAATAAATGTTGTTGCCGCCTGAGATTCTCTAACTGTCCGCATCTTCGTTCCTAGCTGTTATTTATGATGTTATTTGCGAACTATGAAAGAGAATGATCTCTGGGGGCTTTATTTCCTTCAGTACTGTGGTTAATCCTATTCCATCAAACTAATACTGAGTGTCTAGTGATTATGGGTACCAGTGATGTACTCGAAAGAATTATATAATCCAAGTACTTGATAACATGCCACCATATCACAGATGCTACTTAATTATCATTTAAACACATAAACATTGGTACAAGGAGGCAGCAAACAGATGTGATTCACATAAATTATTCGATTTGTGTAGGGCTGGGATACTGACCGAGTGCCCAAACTGAAGCATGTGATTTTCTTAGGGGACCACGCTCCCAACCCATGGTAGCTGGTTCATCTGCCATTTGTTTACTTGGGATCCTGGAGCCCATGTGCACCATTGGTCCGCAATCAGGATATTCCAACTCTCCTAGATGGATCCCCCATATCCACCAACCCGGTTAAAACAGTAGAAATTCACTTTTCATCCTCTCAGTTTTACAGATAACAACCATGCAGTGAGTAGGACTTCCCTGGCAAAGGTTGTATAAGCGTGGCTATGTGAGAGCATTTCGAGAGTGAGAACGGACTCTTCCCACCCTCATCAACGCCAAGATATTTGAGGGGTTGTTGTTGAAAATATGAAACATAGCACTATTAGATGAGTTTTACAAATGACGTCGTGGGTGAAAGCAAGCTTAGAATTGAAAAGAAGGAAATCCGCTATCAGTATGTAACGTGTGCTTATCTGTAATGTATGTCTGTATGTTTTGGTCATGGAAGAAGGCCGAAAGACCATGGGCAGAGACGACTCGGATATGCCTTACGCGTGTCCATACTTCTACTACTGTGACACCCTATGATTTCTGGAACCGGTTGCAGTAAGGCGAGGGGTGCAACGTTCTGTTTTCTTTACTAATGTATACATGGACCCGCGTCTGTATGTTATTCAAAAAAATAACAGAAACGTGAAGTGTATTTCCCCTTAATTTTACTTATTACATGTGAACCATATGCTAAGACACTCATATTTCATGGATTTCTTATGATGGTCAACCTGATAAATCAAAGCATCGGATTTACAAATTAACTCAGGAATATTTTCAATAACAGTGAGATATGAGACAATATTTACACCAGGTTTCCATTCACATTGATAACGTTAAGCTGCAGTCGTTCTTATGTTTCTAAGGGACTAAAAAAGTCACGCGTCGACTGTGGAAATGATTGTGAAACTAAAGTGAACGTCCAGCTCGCTTTTTAGGGACATGGTAGAAGGTGCTTTTAGTACTGCTTTCCGTAGATTGTTCTGTAGTACCATAATTCTGACGACGAAACAGTTTGTATGGAGATCTGTGAGGGCACACTCATGTAGTTAGGGACTTAGTCGAAAATATGGAATAACTCTAAACGAATTACATGATTTTAAGCAAAGAAGAATTTATATAACTGTGATATACTAACATATTCATGAAAATTAGTTAACAATAGGGTAATCTATCACAACCTGAACAAAGCGTAATATATGCGTAATACCGTATTAGTTAAAACGTACAATACTCCACTGTCAGGACGGTATACTTCTGTTTTCCTGCGAAGTAAAAACACAGGCCCTTAGTTATCCAGCTGTTGATGTTAACACTTTGGAAATTGTTTAATAGCAGTGATCTTGAAATATGGTCAGTCAGACGTACAATCTAAAAACAGACTTATCACCTTTGTTCCAAAATGAACACTACTCTATAATGCATGTTAACGGTGGAATCCAAAGTACTTTTTTTTCTACTTGAAAGCAGATTGATTTGCATCACTTTACTCATTAGGAGCAGGCTGATAAGGGTTAAGTTATAACAATGCGTCCATATTACTACAGTCTTATTTATATACGAAATGAATCTGTGATATGTTCGGACAGGCGAGAATATAATAAACATGATGTCTGATAAAGGATACTAACTCCCTTGAGCGTGTCCAGCGTGTGGGAACGAAATTAGTGAAGGGTCTTTCTAGACTCCCTTACGATGAGCGTTTAAAACGCTTAAATCTTTTCCCCTTGTCGTATCGTAGGACACGAGGTGACCTTATACTGGCATTTCGTATCTTTAATTATGATTTGGGTGTTAATATGTCTTATCTTTTTGCTCTCTCCAGCACTAATAATCTCCGCGGTTATAGCAAGAAGGTTCATGAACCAAGATCTAATAAACTTAAAGTGGGGTTCCGTCTTTCTCATTGAGTAGTCAATCATTGGAACGCCTTACCCGAACAAGTGGTATCAGCCCCATCAGTGAATACTTTCAAGGAGAAGCTGGACCTTCACTGGAAAGCAGTGCGTCAGGATTAATACAGGTTCATCAACCTACTATCCTTATTACTGAAGACTGAGGACTGAATATGAACATGTTGTGTAATTCCTGTTTCTGAATAGCGGTGCTGACTATGTTTGCTTGATGAAACAGTATCTTTAGAACCAAATGTCTTTTTATCATGTATGATATCCGTCGTCAACTGTATAAAGCATTTTATGTCGAGGCCATGGTGACTATGGTATACCGCCATTATTGAACAAACCGAATTGTATGACCTTGAGGTGCGACAATACCTTTTTCCGTGTACGTTTGGTTGGGCCGGTATGTTTGATTACTATACATTACTCAGTAGAATTTTAGGATATAAATCATATTGCCTGTTGTCCTGTACTGGCCTGTATTTGGATCTTGTTTGCACTAGTTGTCAACATTTAATCTCATCAAATGTTATGAATGATACATTTCATGCCAGTCAAAACCAATATGCCAAAGGTGATTTGTAATTCCACTTTACTATAGATGCAACTTTCTTGCTACATTATATTTTTTATTTTTGCTTTTAAAATGTTTACATGAGTAGACACCGGGTTTCAAACTGGGTTTTTGCAACAAATTGGCACTAAACCGCACTTGTAAAACTCGCGATTTCATACTACAGTGGGTGTCAAGGTTAAAATGGCCTTTGAGAAGCAAAGAGTGTCGACAAATCGAGATACCAAAATTACTGTATTCTAAATTTTACCACAGTCCTATCCCTTACTTGGTGTCAATTATAACGTAAATTGATTTTTTTTATACTTAGACCTGCTACGAAACTTTTTTTCGTCTCTGTATTTCTGCAACTGTCATACCACTGATTGTATTGCTTTTTTGTGTAAGTCAGGTTATATACCGTAGACTGTTTAGCTATTGATCCATGTAACTCGCTTCGTTGTGTTATGTACAATACAATATATTTCTTGCACCTGGTTTCGCAATGTTTTAAGACAATTTTTGCTGCAAGAAAGTAACGTGTCTGTGTAGACTGATGTATGTGTCCAAGCTAATCACTACCCAATAACAACTTTACGGAACTTTAGTTCGGTGATTAAAGCCCTCGTCTTTCAGCCAGTAAGTTACAGGCTAGAACCCCGTCCCTCCTGTTTTGGTTTGGGTACGTGGGTAGTATCATTAGCCCTCACATTAGGGGTGTGGCTCATGCCCAAGTTCCTGGAGAATAGGTTCATTTGGATTTTTGGAACATTTTGTATCAAACATGTTTGTATATCATTTCGGTAAGGGGAAGTTTCCTATGCTAAGTTTTATTCTTTAGTCTGCAACAATGTCACCGAAACCAGTTTCTAGCCGTCGATATTTTTTGTATCAGCAGTTATTTTATTAAAAAGTTGCTTCTGAAGTGAAAACCTATGACTACAAATACGATATGAATAACAAAGTTTAGCATTACCAATTATTCAGTTGCATGTGTTGTTCTTTGCAGTATAAGTATTATCTTCTCCCTGATTGTTCGCAGTCATGGTTGATTTTTGCATTTCTCTGTTATTAATAAACGAAAAGCATATGAAGTGTTTTTGTTGAATAAATTCATGATAGCTCAACATTAATCTTTAATTAATACAATAGTGACAATACCTCAACGTTTTCTACCGCTTCTACTTAGTGTGCGTTAGGTAGATGAAATTCTTGGCAAGGGAAATTTTTGTAGTGCCTGTTACACAAAGGAGCACCTTTTTGCTACTAAGCTGTATTTTGAATGGATAAATTTTATTTTGCGAAGTAGTCACTGATAAATATGTTTACGTTTTCATAATGAATCATATCGTATTTTCCTGTTGATGTTGATATGGCGGTCGGGCTTGCTCGTCGTGACGAACCAGTTGGGTTATACTGGCTGGAACAACCTCTCCTCAAGGTCCTACCGTGCCAGACAGGATGGTTGAAAAACGGTAAGATACAAAGCAGAAAACTAAAGGTCCGAAGGCGAAGTCGTCCTGCTGACCGTACAGAGGTGTGACGGCAGTAAGGTGTTTCCCTCAGACGACCAGCATAACAGCGATGCTGCCTTCCCACAAAGGGAGGGTGGGTTAGAATAGGCCTACCCTAAAAATGCACACATTGCCTTGTTCCACAGATATTCGTCTCCGGCGGTAAGGACTCAACAAGTACGGAACTAACACGGAAACTACTCACAAAAAAGTCGTGTGTGATTGACCTCGAGTAGTCCCTTGGGCACTGTGGTCACGCTTTCAGGTCGCTAAGACCACCTCTAATTCAGCATCTTTTCAGGTAACTCTAGAAAAACCATTCCACGGTGTGGGTAACCGGGAAGTGAAAACCACTCTCATACCTCTAACAGCACTTACGATCACTGTATTCACTATCCATTTCCCTATTCAATTCCTATTATTCCACCTACCCCGACTACCAACCCTAAACTTCCTCAAGTCACCATGACCAACGATTCTAATGCGCGAAGTACTGTCCCAGGTCTACTGAATTCTCTCTCCAAAGTACACATTTGAACCCTATGTCAAATCGGTCAGCAGGCCTCCTTGGCTTAGAGCCTAGAATCTCGTACCATTGATGTATGTTGTGTCTCCGAAACACGCATACATTAAGAAGATCCATTAGAGTTGAGCTCAGTGACGGAACACTTGAAGAAATAGTTAAGCTGGCCTTCAACTACTCTACAGCTACCCACCATTTCAAAAAAGCCTGAATGGGAAATTGAAATAGACCCCTCCCCGACTCTAATTGAAGTTCAGAAAGCTATAGCGAATCTGAAACGAGGAAGAGCAGCTGGTCCAGATAGATTATTCCATAGGCCTTTAAGGATGGTGGTCCAGCTTTTGCGATCAGGCTGACTAATATTTTAGCTAAAATCTGGTATTTGGACGTAATCCCATCTGAGTGGTCACAATCACTGATCGTCCAAATATATAAGAAGGGGTTGAAATCATCCTGTGATAACCATAGATGGATTAGCTTCACTAATTTAGCATCTTAAATACTACCCTCAATAATTATCGGGCGCCTAACAAATACTCGTGAACTGCAAGCACGAGAAAATCAGGTTGACTTCTGACCTGGTCGTGGCTTCATCGACCACATATTCACCATTCGTCAGGTTTTAACACACAGGCATACTTATCGGCATCCGATGATGGTGGTCTTTCTTGACTTAAAAGTAGTACTTGACTCTGTAGACCGAGAGGTTCTGTGGCAGTGTCTGTCATTGAAAGGCATACCTCAGAAATACATAAACCTTGTGAAGGCTCTTTACTCGAACAATACCAGTCGAGTCAGAGCTTATGACGAACTGTCATCCGAATCCACAACCTCGTGTGGTGTCCGGCAAGGCTGTTCACTACCTCAATTTTCGTTCAGTTTTATCATAGGCCTACTGCTGGAAATAACGTTCTCGTCGTTCGAATTTTCAGGAATTGATCTCCTACCAGTGTGTCCACTTATTGACTTAGAATACACACAGGACATAGTCGTATTTGGTGAAGACGCTGATAAAATTCAGTCTTTTGGTAACACTGAGCAACAATGCCAGGATGCTGGGAATATGTTTCTCCCCATGTAAATGCAAATTGCTGCTTCATGACTGGACTGCGTCAACACCTGAACTAAAGATAGGGAGTGTAGTAGTCGAACGCGTCAACAACTTCATTTGTCTTGGAAGTCTGATCAGCCCTAATGGGTTGGTTTCTAACGAAATCTCAACACGGAATCGAAAAGCTCGTTTAGCTTTTGCCAACTTACGTCACCTGTGGTGAAGACGAGGTATCCGTCTACCAATAAAATGATGAGTATACTATGCGGCAGTTTGTTCTGTTTTACTTTACGGCTACGAAACGTGTCCATTAAGAGTAAAAGATACTCGTAATTTACTAGTATTTGATTACAGATGTCTTAGAATTATTGCTAGCATTTGCTGGGAGCACCGGGTAAGTAATAGTAAGATAGACGCAGAGTATTCGGGAACGAAGATAAATCAGTTGGTAAGGTTGTGAATCGTCATCGACGCATTCCCAACCACTGACTACCACGGCATGCAATTCTAAATAGTGTTGGAGATGGATGGAAAAAATTTGGAAGCGGCCAAACCAAGACGTGGCATCAGTCCATAAAGTCACTAACTTCTGATCTGAGCCATGTTGATAGATGGAGAATGCTAGGTTGTGGTCGGCACGACTGTTGTAACCAATGGTCGGAACTCTGGGTGACATGGCTCAGAATCGATCACAATGGTGTAGGTGTATACACTATTTGTCTTCCCTTAAACCGTGAGATTAAAATTCCTTGTCACCTTCCTTTCTACGTTCCAATTTTTTCCCCATGTATCATATCTTTACATGAAATCTTTTTTCATTAACATTGAATTTGGTGTGCATCTTGTTGTGCTAATGATGTATAGCAAATTGGTCCGATGCAATATATTTGATTGGTCTTACTTTGTAGCTGACTGACTATTGATACAATTAATCCGCGATTACTTTTGATAGTGAGGATATAGCTTTTCAGCTCCGACAGCATCTTAGAATAACATATACGAAATACGGAAAGTAGATCTTGTGCTCTTTCTACTTTCTGTGTGCAGTTTCTTGCCTCATAGTAGTAATTCTGACCAAATAGATCCAATTTTAATCCAATCCTACAAATATCTCACCATACACTTGCTTATTTTGCGTTAGCTTTGATAGTACTATATTTAATATATTTCCTTAATACTACCAGTTAATTCATATTTGATTCACAGAGTATCAGTTCCTGCATACCGAGTTCTGCTGGTCACCCTTGGCTTTCAGGTTAGTATCACGTTCGGACACCTGGATTTTTTTTCAGTTACCTACTGATTTATTTTATGAATTATTAGTTTTAGACGTAAAGCAGTGTTGTATACATTCGATTCTGTATATTGTGATTGCAAATGGAAATGCAGTAGTAAGTAAAAGCATTAGTTGATTCCTTTACCATGGTTAGATGCATGAATACTGCTAAATCTAAGGAAAAACGAACAGTTGATTTGTCTTTGTTACCTTGAAAAAAGTAGTTGTTCTTAATTAGATCACAAAGTCTGAGATATGTGACCGGTGTTTTTTGTTTTCTCGGAGTTACTTATCTTAAGCACATCTCCACTTGGTTTTGATCTAGTGTTTGATATCTTTATTTTTCCTGATTTTACGCATTGATTTCCCTTGATAAACTTTTGTAAAGCAATAATAACGAACATTGTGTGATAAAGTAAATTCATTCCATTTCGTGTGCTTTAAGTCATCCACATGTACATTAATTTGAACAAATAAATGAGATGTCTTACAACTGTAATTTTCTGTGTAATATGTAAAAAATTCTCTATTCTACTAGTGAATAGAAATAATTATGAATACTTCTCATATTTATATAACAAATAGGTGAAGGGATTAAACGAGAGAAAAAGACGACGACATAATCTGATCTAAGAAACACATGCAATCATGATTATAGTAGAGAAAATGTAGAGAGTGACAGTAATGACCGTAAACACGATAGTGAAATAATTATGACAGTAATGATTATAATATATGAAAAGGAAGTAGTCCGATGTCTAAATTGATAAGGACTAAATATTTTATTATATGGTGTTAAATTATGTCTAGTTATGATAACCATAAATAAGAAATCAAAACTACTAAAATAAATGAAAATATTTGATTAGATATAAATGAAGACAAGCAAACATAATGAAAAAATAGAGGAAGGGAAGTGCAGCAGTGAACTGACCAACCTAGAAACTCCAGATGTACATAATTTGGGTTTTAGACGACGAATAGTCTTCACTTCTGCGTAACGTAGAAGTCTGTCGTTACTCTTTCTGCTTATTACTCGAAAGGCAATATCAAGGTCTACTGGATGGCCCATGTTCAATATATGTTCTCCGACAGCACTGCTACGTAGTTTAGGGCCATTCAAGATTAGATTTCTCGGGACGTGTTCTGAGATTCTTTTATATAATATTCTCTCCATTCTTCCGAAGCTCATGATATTACGTGAAAAAAATAAACAGGCGGATTCATTTTAAGGTAAATATAAAGGAGCTTTACTCATAAAAGGTTATAGTTTTAACTTCAGTAAACACTGGTAGTTTTGTAGTTCAGCTATTTCTGTCTAATGGGACCACTCAATCTATATTATATGCGTTGGAGGCCCAGATCAAAGTAGAATGAGAGCTAACATTCAATAAGGAATGTTAGTATTAGTAAATTTGTAACCCAACATTCTCTTCTTTTTTATTTCGACACTAATTGTTTGATACTAAAGTTTCTGTTTAGTTCTCTACATTCGACATGGGATTCCTTAATTTATAGATGGTGTGGCACGTTTTACCGAAGTTGTTCAGAGGTGCGTCATTTTAGATGAGAAAGTATCATGTAAGTTGCTTGTTCGCATACAGTTAATCATTTGAACACTAAGTAATATGAGGTATAACGAATAATTCATTTGTCGTTCTTGAAATATACGTGGCTGACAAGATTTTCCGACCGTGAAGTTTTTAATCCATCGAACCAAATGTTGTTCTGTGAATTATTGTTATCCAAATGATCTTTTCCTCGGTTTTTAGTTAGTTTCTGTCGTCATATACCTTAATCAAGTTTTTCCACATAAATTTATTTCGGCTCACTAATAGCTGAATATATAAACATTTACTTGGTAAATGTTCCATGACCAGAGTTGCTTCAAATGATCACTTATCACATGTATACAACAAAAGTGGACTACTGATTGGTGTTGGGGTATTTCAGTAGCCTCACAAATAAATTTAGGTTAGTGTGTAGTGAACGAGAACATAAGGGGGGATAAAATTACAGAACATCTTCGAAAAATCTGAGAACCATACAGCAAATATATAATTTGCAAAATCTCAACCAATTGTCTCAAACTTGACTGTTCCTTTTGCAAATGCCAGAAAATCGTCTCAGACTTTATTGTTCTTTCGTTTCCACACTACTCATTCTTTGTTCTCGTTCTCTTTTCTTTGATATTCTTAACCTGCTGCCGCCAGAAATTTCACTTTCTATTGATGACACATACTGCTTAGATCTATCGAAATCGGCAGCATACACCACAGTGGACGGCTAATATTTTTGAGCTTTATACACATATAGGATAACTACTAGCCGTTCGATCTCAAAGTCATTTTAGTCAGACTAACTTTATAATTGTGAGAAACAGATATCTGTACTTATAAACTTAAGTGATAACCCTTTCCAACCTTCTAGACTTTGGTAGGAGTCAGGAATTTGTGATCGTCACGCTCAAATGCCTTGGTACGGCCAAGAGTCCGCTCTCCCTCTCGAAATGCTCTCACATGGCCATGTGTATAAAGCCTCTGCCAGGGAAGTCCTACTCACTACCTTCTCGTGGCGGGGGTGTTGTTCACGAAATTGAGAGCACGAAAAGCGAATGTCTGGCGTTTTAACCGGGTTGGTGGACATGGAGAGTCCACTTAGGGGAGTTGGAAAACCCTGATTCTAAACCAATGGTGCACACGGGCTCCAAGATCCTGTGGGAACAAATGGCGTATGAACCTATTGTTGGTCACCGGCTACCATGGGACTGTATCTTCTTACAATGCTCCACTGTCTTGTGGATCAGACCTTTAGGTCGAAGGCTCCGGGTGTGGCTTCCTAAGAAAACCACCTGGTTCGGTTTGGGCACCCGGGCAGTATCAGAGCCCTCATACATATCAAATGAGATTTGTGCGGCGCATATGTATTTGGTGCCTCTTTGATCGTCACGCTCAGAGCGTTTTCATCATTAGTTGACTCAAAGATAATACAAGTTTCTTTTCAATAACCATGTGTATTGTTACAGTTGGTTTTTTTCAGAGACTTCTGGCGGCTTATCTGTTTCATTTCACATAGATAAAAGTGTCATTTTGAGAGGGCTTTGTGTAATTTGATTCTAACAAGAATAAGAATACTGAAATATGATTTCTCAATTTCGACTGCAGGTTATTAACTTTTCGCAAGGAATTGGGTGTGTAAAATTTAAAATAAGTAAAGAATAAGAATCACAGTTCACTAACTTCCCAAACTTTTCGACCTTAGTGTTCATAAAGAACACGATAAACTCTCGAGGCACATTAAACCGAAGTTTAATTATAGTCTTGAGAAAGAGCTCTAATGTCCTACAGATTCAATCTGACTACGATTAATAGATGGATGGTATGTCTCTTACTTTTTAATTCCCATACCATTCGCCCTCTTAACTTTTCCACTGCAATCACTGCCTATCATAACTGTTTCTCATTTGATATTTTGTACCAGATGTAGTAGCTTTGGATAAAATTGAACTTCCATGTTATTCTGTACTGATATTAGTTGGTATGCGGGTAAAGAGCCAAATTAAATATCAGCTTCATAACTTCAATTTTATGTTCTCAAACAATCATTCTGTTGCACAGTATTTCTAAGTCCCGTATTTGGTACGAGTCCGTCTACTTGGCTTCAAGCCATACTATGAATGTAAGGAGCAGTGATACTACTCGGTTTCCCAAACTGAAGTAAGTGGAGCAGGTTCCAAACCTTCGACTGGGTAGCCGATAGTCGAATCCCTTAGTCACTAAGTGATTGCTCCATGATTAGGAATCGTGTGGTTATCAAGTAGGATCTTTTGAGTAAGTTTATTTTTACCCGTAAATAATAAATTTTGTCTAAATAGTAAGACAAAAAAACAAAGATTTTTCTTTATGTCAAATTCATTGTGTGGTAAAATTTCTGAACTAAGGAAGTGCTGAATCGCTTGTCGTAGAATGAATCTCATGAACTAATTCTTTCTTCCTGTACTATATCCTTATATGCAATCTTTCTTTTATATATTACCACTATTGAATTAACTACTTCTATGAATTTGGTGTTCATCTTGTTGTGCTAATGAGGTGTGGCAACTTGGACCGATGCACATATGTGCCTGATAGTACGTTGTAGCTGATTGGTTCACTGACATGTGTTAGGAATGTTTGTTTATTTCTCAAGACAACACATAATGTGTATTCAGATTAGTGTAACCACGTAAGGCAAAATAATCTTAGTCTAAAATCTCTACTATTTAAAAGTAATAGAAAATCATACTATTATCAAACATATCTGTACACAGATTAAAAAAATTTCCAAATGTATCAGCACAGACGGTAATCGAAGAGGTTGCTGTGATCTTATAGAAATATAAGTTTGTACTTCTGTATGCAAATAATGATGACAAATTTTTTCAGCCCATCATTCTAGACTTCACGTATTCTATCACTACTAGGTTCTGGAACGTCTACCGAACACAGAAATAATGGAGACTGTATTAAGCGCTCGGAGGTAAATTATTTGCTTTTATAAGTAGGTTTGTTTTAGCTTCTATTATCCACATTTATTCACTGTATTATATATATATATATCAATGTTGTATGGCATTCTTTTGAGATAATTTAAGTCTCTTACAACTCTACCCTGTCTAAACGCGTACCTATACGCACATAGTTCTTATAACATTGTACCAGAAATATTGATTATTTATGTTCTTTTAATTTTTCCTACTAAAAATCAATCTACCTCTTTTATTGATAGTTTTCAGTATGAAGCTAGAAAACTCGTGAGCTGTTTATCAAATCAATACTAACTCTGCTATTTTTCGTTTCTCCCATAGGCTATTTACAAGACACTGAATAATGCTTTTAGTGACCTTATTTCTGTCCCGACCTGTCAACCAAATTGGGAATACGATGTTTCTAATGCAGAGTATATAGATTTTCAGGAGGTCAGTTAAGATTTGATAACATTTCATTTCTTAAAAATATTCCTATGTAGTATTGATAGTTATTAGTTATACCTTATTTTTATTGCAATAAAATCAAATCATTATTATCCTTCTTATGAAATTCGAAGTTGTAAATGGTAAAGTCCCTTATTGTTCTTGGTTATCGTACATTTCACAATATGTTGACTAAAATTATATCAAGGTAACTATAGTTTTGATACTTTAATGGATTTTTCGCATCATCCTTGGTTATTAATTTTTTGTCGTGCTGTTGATACGAACCTATTAAAAGTCTTTCGCATTTAATGTTATTTAAAAATACGTTTTTTCGGTTGCCTACATATATATACCCTTTTACTGGATTTTTTTTACTGCTAATTATAATGTAAGTTGGTTTTGTATAGCAGCGCTTGTCATAGTTGTTCACTACTTAATTTTATTCACAGTTCTCACAGATATTCTCCTAAAAGTGACTTCTTGATCATCTAACTTTTTACAGACCACACAGCTTATTCACCAACTTCACGTTTGTTTTCCTGCTTTCGAGCCATCCTACTTTTGTGACGACCAAAGATACTACCAAGTTGCCCAAACCAAAGTTTGGGTTTTAGTAGTAGGTTAGAAGAACATTAGAGGTGTCCAAACCAGCATGCGCCATCTATTCATCAAGCTGTCGATTGTTGGTTTTCCTGGTTCGGTTTTTCACAATGATCGTAAAAAGTTTTTGGAGACCTCGAGTGATGTGGCTCAAAATCGAATTCTGTAGCTTATTCTCGTCTTATTAACTAACTTTCAGTGTCCTAGTGTAAAGTGTACCAAGCTGAACCAATGTCCATTTATACCAGTCGCCATGTTGTTGATGACAGCAGCGCTATTTTACTGTGAACAGTTTCATTTATTTTATGGTCACATTAACGAAGTTATAGAGACATCTTAATTTCCAAGTAGTTTACAGATTGATTATTTTTTAAGTAGTCTTTGGTTTAGTCGCCTTTTATTAATGTGAATGAGTTCAGCTCTGTTTTCGAAATCATTTCATATTGTCTTTGATGTATTTGCAAAACGTTTGACATCATTTTTTTGTGAGTTTCATGAGTACTTTCCTTTATCAGGCTTAGCTACACAGTGTACTCATATTGTTTACTATATTCTTTTATACTAGCATGATTTATTTGATGAGCGATATGAATAAATGCCTTTTTATTTGTTTGAAATCTACCCTTGCCATTATATATTCAATAAGTTCCTTTTTCACAGCTTCATATCTCTCTTTTTATTTTTTTAATTAGTATCAAATAGACTTGATGAAGAGATTTTGTCATGTGGATGAATCTGTTTTGATTAGCATAGCTGAAAATCTGCAAAAATGTTTAAACTCAACTCACTGTTCTCCTAACGGGAGTACATGGTTACTCCACTTATTCGTGATTGCATTTTTCGTTTCTTATGTAAGTTTTAACATTTTACAATGCATATATATATTTTGTCAACTTGTAAACACTGTTACTCTTTTTTACATCTTGTTTGAATAGATTGTTGACAAAGGAAAAATCACTGAGTTTTCGACTATGTACAACGTAAAAATATTTCCATTGTTTACTTCTTTTAAAGTTTCGTTGTATAATGGTAAAGTTTACATATTGTTCAACGAAAAGGAATAGAAATTTCTGTTATAAACATCATTTCTTATGAATTAACCATAATATACTACTTAATCTGATTTGGTAAGCCAATCAGAATTACCTCGATGGAGAAAATCACCAGGAATAACGCGAATCCAGCCTCACTCAATGATATCTGCCCTGCTGAGCCAATGTTCAGAAGTAAGGTTCAGACTTTATTTGATAGCATGTTTCCACAAAGAAGAAGGCGAAATTATGCACTCAAGGCGACGAGAACTGGACATCTGTTTCGTAATGGATTACCTGTGGATGTAAGAAACCTTCGACAATGGGGGCCTGCGTAGGTATCGGGTGTCATTGGAAGAAGAGTCGATGACATGTATAAAATTGATGTTCGAAGTAAATGGGTGACTCTATATGTAAACCACATCCTCGTTAGATGACTAATTCCGGATGAAGAACCTCCTAGCTGGAACTTGCTGTTTGATTACTTAATTGATACAGTCAGCCTGAAACGACAAGATAAACGCATAAGAAGTGATGGTCATAACCCAAGAAGATCATCAAAAAGACGACGTTTCCCTGAACGCCTTCAATTAAATCCAAGGAGCAAGACTTATTTTTCAGGAGGGAAAAGTGATACGGTAATCCAATCAGAAGTGACCTGAAAGACAAGTTCATTTCATGGACTAAGAAATGTATTAATTTCCTAAGGGGTAGAGTTGTGTATATATTGGTGAGTATTCTTGCATTTTATTTGATAGCCCAATATACATTCTCGTCCGCTATTGTGATATCGCGCAAGTAGTCAGTTCGGGGGGAAGGCTAGCACATCTACAACGCGTCGGTGAGAGCAGTTCTGCTCTATGCTTGTGAAACCTGGCCTCTCCGAGTTGAGGACGTTAGACGACTCTCTGTGTTCGATCATCGCTGTCTCCGAAGGATTGCTGACATTCAGTGGCAACACCATGTCAGTAATGCAGAGGTTCGGCATCGTGTGTTCGGGCACAGAGATGACAATTCAATTGGTGTCACCATGTTGAAACACCGACTTCGGTGACTTGGACATGTTCTCCGAATGTCGTCCCAGAGAATTCCACGTCGTGCATTATTTGCCGACTCTGGGACTGGTTGGAAGAAGCGGAGAGGTGGTCAGTGTATGACATGGTGTCGTGGCATGAAAGAAAGCTGCAAAGGACTGGCTTGTGTTGGTCCTTCACGACTCCCTGGCTGGGGTCCGAGAGATGGTGCTACACAGTGGCTAGAGACGTTATCAGATATGGCTCAGAATAGAAGCCAGTAGCGATCCTGCTGTAACCTTCTTTTACTTTCTTCATAAAAAGTGGTTGTGTCTCCTTTACCTGAAAGATTTCTTCTGATTGTACCTCTTCGTCATTGCTCTCTTTTTCTTTTGCGTTCCTTAGTTTTTTTCTTTCTACTTCTCTTCGAATTTTCATTGTTTTGTGTGGCGCATATATATTGGCGCTCTCTTGTACCAATATTTATGTGTTCAAATAAATAAATAAATAAATAAATAGCACATAACACATTGTGTATCAGTATCAGATTTTGGGCACCGCCCGTCATAACAGAATGTTCTTTATTAATGATTGTCTTGTTTCCCCAACCAACATTGTTCTGGGCTTTCCTTTAAAGTTACTATCAAGTGCTGTTTATTCTTTCGATGTCCGTCTTCGATTTTCAGCGCAATGTGTTCTTTGAGCTGTATGATTTCCCTTCCCTTTGAAGACTATAAGTCGAAAAAAGCAGCCCGGTAACCAAGTAGACGAAGAGTGTCGAGATGGCAGAATCAAATAACATACCAGCTGAAGCACTAAAGTTAGACATAGCGGTAATTCAAAATATGCTCCACGTTTTATTCAGAAAAATCTGGGACGAAGAACATGTGCTGACAGACTGGAAAGAAGGATACCTCATAAAGATAGGAGAGCGTGTGTGAGAACAACAGAAGTATCACACTACTATCAGTACCAGGAAACGTCTTCAACAAAGTGTTGATGAAAGATTCAGTTGGCGCCCAACTTCGAGACCAACATGCTGGCATTTGTAGGGATCATTCACATGTCGACTAACTCGAGCATTTGTTATTTATATATTCCAAACTCTGTCGAAATGCATCTCTGAACATCATACTTCGTTATTAAAAGTATTTTTAAAGCAAGTTCCCGCAAACATTGGTCATGTTACTTCACCAAAATCCTCCAAAGCTATTCTTAGACTCAAACAGAATGTTTCGAAGGAAATCCCATCCAAAAATTTATATACCACAGAGTTTAGGGACCAGTTGTTTCCAGCCTAGTTTCTGTGTATTATAGTAATATGTTCTATCCCTTAGTTAATTTGATCTCAACTTCCTTCCTATACTCTACGCAAAAATCTATTTTTAATATTCCTTCATTATTTCTTTATAATATGTGATGACCTATGACATGTAATTATTCTGTTCTTTATATTCATCAAACGAACAATTGTCTCCCTCCTGCATAATATTTTTTTCACATTACTCATTAGTCAATCGACCGTTAAATAACTTCGTTTTTATATTGGGTATTCTCAAGTAATTTGTGACTATGTTACATTCACAATATCTGAATATTCTTCAAGTTGTAATATATGATCTGCTTTCATCTTGGTCTATTATGTAACTTTACTGATACTTGTAAGAGACTTTCAATTACATCTTAAGTGATGCCATATTTTATACAAGAAAGAATTCATCAAAAAACGATTGTCTTCGCTGAATCGTCTTTGTTACTTCTTCAATTTGAAGCTTGTTAAAACCGAAAAATAAGCTATGTAGCGCAAAATTTAGCGAAATTGTGTGCAGATCTGATTTAATGGAAATCATTGACCATATACGGTTCTAGTCTATGGTCAACAACAAATTCGACGATCTAATTAACTAGAGGTGTTTTATTTTTTTTTAACTAGATTGTATAATTGTACAATTTTGATTGTGATTATGAAAAATACTATGAAGTAAACGCAACTCAAATCAAATTTATCAGAGCATGAATTAATCGATATAATTATGGTTTTCGTTTACTTTCCTGAAGAAACAAACACCAAGCTGCGAAACTAAATGTTGGAATTATTTTTAACTCCGGTACTTGAGTTCTTTACGAATATAATCTATTTTCTTTTATTGCATACTAAAGTTTAGCAATTCGCTTACTACATTGTACCTATTAAAAGTTGTAGTTTACTGTTTATGCTCAATTCTTCGTTTTCAAAATCAATTAAGTAATGAGTTTCTGTTTTGTATATTAAATATTACTTTAAAATACTGAAGATGATATGTAGCTTAATTGTTTAGACTCATCAACACAAGTTTAAATAAGTGTTATTCAAAATTATAACATTTTGATTTCACTATGAAATACTAATAAAGTTCACTTCATGCAATAGATATGTTTTCACAGTATTCAGAAGGGTATCATATCTTTTCTTGTAACTACTTTTAAATATCGGACTGTTCAATCAGTAATTGTTATAATAATAAGTGATTCAGATTTTTAAGAAATTATTCTTATCTATCATTTAGTTGAGTACAATCTTTAAAGATTAAGTATATTTTGTACTAAAAGATAAGAAATATCTCGAGGTTCAAAGACATTTATCCATGCGTGATCACTACCCATTCCGACCTGTTGCAGTGTAACAAAATTAGCGGTTGACAGATCAAGACATGAGATTAATCAATGAAACCACTGATTATTGACCTGATTAATGTTTTTGGGTACAAACGTCCTGGTTGGGATCCAAGCTGTACTTGTAACCAATGTTTGTAGGCATTGGATGGCATGGCACAAATTCTGTCACAATGAAACAGTTGCACTAATTTTTCCATCCTTCTCTAAATTTTAGGATTAATGGCATTTCTAACTCTTTCAGCTGATGTTTCTTTTTGAATTATATTTCTCATATTTACATTTCTACTGTTTACGATACTACTCCACATCCTATGCTTTCTCACCTAGTTGAATCTCTGTTGTTGTGGTTGTTTCTAACATTAAGGTGTAGCGACTTGTACCTTTGCGTACTCATGCCAAGTCTCTGTTCTGATAGTAACTGGCTGAATAGCAAATAAGCAGGTGGGTTATCCAGGATATAATACAACAGTAATGCGTTGCAACAGTCTGCTGTTAAACTGCTCAGTCACATTTTTATTCCAAACTCAACATTTAAACTATTTTCATATTTTAAAATAAATTTAAGTAAATTCTAGTTTTTGTTTGTAAGAAATTTAACTTTTTCATCAAAAAGATAACTTCTAACTAACAGAAACTTCCATTCGGCTCCTCGAAAAAGTAGTAATCAATCTTCGTGGAAAGACTGAAACATTGAATTAGAGCATCTATAAATTAAGTATCAGCTCTTTTAATTCAATAACTGTCATTGTTAAGTATATGTACTTTACTAAAAGATACAAGTTATTTTCAGTATACACAAATATTTTTAATTTTTATTTTATGTAAATAGATAAGAAGATCAAATTACTTTACAGCCCCAAGTTGTATATTTCATGGCTCAAAAGTTTGTACTTGTCCTCAATTAGTTGCTGATCTCAACAAAACTCCGACGTGAACATTTGGATCTCGTGAATAAGCTATAAGTCTATGACTCGTCTGATTAACGAGTGACCGGATTAGAATAGCTACTAAGTGCTTATCACTGGTTATAAGAATTCGCAACCCTGTAACTATATACAGGTTCGTATATTCGGTTTACAGCCACGCCACCTTATGAAGATTAGTGTTACTGCAATTGTTTAAGTCATATTAGGTTTAGGGATATTTGACTCCACTACCGGATATTTGAATCGCAAGTACTGTGGCTTATAAGCTAACATTCATCACCGTTAAGAAGCTTTTCATTCAGCGTACGAAATCGCTCACTAGTTATTAAGTGAACGGTTATCTAGTATGCTCTTAATTATTCTCATATTCAGTTAAAGTTGGTATTCAATGATAACATAGAAAATATCTTAACCCAATCATACTTAAACAGCTGTTTCGAGTCTTGTAAGTTGAGCAAACAAAACTGTGTTCCTAATATACAAAACGAGATCATTAATTCACTTTGAATCATGCTTTTATTATAAGAAAACAATGTGACGTGATTAGCTTCTTGTAAATTAAATTAACATTGTGTTTTATTTAGCTGTTTCAATGACGTGGTCAAGCCCACACTCATGTCTATAGATTCGTGCTTTTCAGTTTCCTATATTTAACGGATAATGTTTTACTTTATTGTTTGTATAATTATGTATTCGACTTTTGTTTTACTCAATTACTTTTCATTTGCATAATAAGCACCATATTTTGTCATTTCAATTTTAGGTTCAGCATTTTCAAAAACTGCCCTCACGGAGCTTGATGCTGTCCATTTTTGAACTGTCTCCGGACCCGGTTATTTTTCATCAGTTGTATGCTTCGCTACTCCCCGAAGTTTTATCTATTCCAGGTACGTTTACTGAAGTGAATATGCCATACTGTCATGGTTTAACTTACGATTAGGGAGGCAAGTCAACAGCTGAAGTTCTTTAAATATGTCCATTACAGCTTTGAATGTATATTTTATGTATATCTTCATCAACGTTTTCAGTCTTCAACATTGGCTTCAGTAAAAGTGGGAGTCTCTTGTAGAATCTTGGAGATGGTCGAAGTATATATATATAATATTATAAAGTAATGACTGTTAATTGCGTCAGTCGATCTATTACTGTGACGGATTTGAATTCCTAAGTCAATTATTCTGTGTAAACATCTACCGATTGACATTTTATGAATTAATACAATAAATGGTATGTTCTCAAGTTACTTAAAGACTTACTTGGTTAATCAGTCATTCATTTGGATGCCCTTACAAAATGTAATTAGTCGATGGTCTATTCTGCTATGTTTAGTATTTTCGATCTTACATAGCATCCTTAAATCTCATATACAGCTTACATATTTTCTTCTAAAGCGCTGTATAATAAAGATTTGCACAAAAAATAAATGTTTAAGCATTTAAACGTAAACCAACAACTTCAGTTGCTCGAAGATTCACGATAAGAATTTGAAATCATATGAACATTCCATATCCGTTTATCAATAGGTATGTATGATAAATCAGTTACCTGATGAATAAAAAAAATCCAGTCTTTAAGAGTCAGACACTGAATTCATGTATCACTCGTTGAGATTTAGGCGTATATCCATCTGCCCAACTCTCAAGAAAGTGAGGTATACATCGTGAGTTCCATCATTAGTTTCTACAAAGTATTTCATTCATTGTAAGTGATTAGTTAATTAGTTCTTTTATTAATCTTTACCATTGTTTGCTAAGCAAATCGACTACAGCCAGTGTATTTTAATTCTACTGTTTAATAGTTTTTTTTATAATCATTGTAAGTACATTTACGTTTTTTTAAACTGCATACTAAACGCATCTAATTTCTCAAGTTTGATCTTGTTTTCATGTGGTCTTTTCGTTTTGTTTTTCATCTTAAACATCTCAACCGTATGCTTGTCCATCCAATGTGTTATTGTTTTTAAAGAGCATTTCACTTCTGTAATCAGTTTGGTTATGACTATCTAGTTCACTGTCTAGTCAATCAATAAAATCAATGATTGTTAGTATTGACTTGTGCTTGCTTTATACTCGTTTTGCAGATCACCGTCAAGGTGAATATATATTGAACTTCTTAAAGAACTCTACTCCTTCCCACTGTTATACACTTCTTTGGTAAGTTACAATGATGGAAATGTTATTTTCAATCTGGTAAAAAATAAACCAACAATGCTCATAGGATTTAAGACAAAGAGCAAAACAGACCTTAAATGTTTCCTGTTAGAAGCAGTACTACCGACCAAATAAGCGTTTATCTTCCACCCTTCAGAGTATCTTTTCAAAAACGTTTCATAGTTATGTCATTTTTTGCCCATTATTCAACATTTGATCCAAAGTGCTGTAAGGTTTTAAACCCCACAAATATAAAATATTTAGTTCAGTTCAAAGATTTTTGTGGAGAGTAGCTTGATTTGAAGATCTATTGTCATAGATTGATTTAGACTAAAAGTGAAGTAGTTACTACCTGCTAATGACATTTAATATTCCCTACTCTTCCTTACAAATAGATTTAATTTCTAAGTGTTGAGCATGTGATTCCTGCTCAGTAGCCCGATTTTTTCTCTTTTTCACGATGAGAACAGAAGTTCTTAGGTATAGTTCCTGGGAGGCTGAGGGTCCACTACACTGGGGAGCCCCATACCTAGGATGGGACTTTTTCAAATGTTCGCTGGTTCCAAACGGTTCCGCAATTCTTACAGAAAACCATTTTTAAAATAAAATATCAAGTTGTCAGCAAGTCGACCTGTGGATTATGTATTTTCGATCAATGTTACAGCGATGTTTCTTATTTTCGGTTTTTTAACTAACTAAGAATCCCAACCAACTACATTATTCGCCCATATGCTTTTACAAAATAAAACATATAGCCAAGTTAAATACCACGAAACTGTAAGAGAGATACAAGAATGGTCTGGTATATTTTTCTCTTTGTCTGTCCTGTGGTAGGACCGAATGCAAGTAAATTAGATTTCATTCACCTACATCAAAGTCTGTCTGTTTTATAATCCATTTTCCTGTGTATAGATTATGCACTGTGAAATCTGTGATAGCAAAAACTGAAGCCTCCTGAATTAATTGGACCTAAGAAGATGAAAAGAGAATTGTTTATTCAGTTTATCCGAAATGAGCTGTAATATAGGCACAATAAACTTTTGATACTCAATGACGATTGTCGTACAAACATAATATCTAATATTTCCGACTAAATACAATATAACACAATTACGTAGTCAATGATCGATGGTTCATATCATACGCGTAATTGTAGGTTTCATAGGTCTGAAAGTTGTAAGAGTTTATTAAAGACCTTAGTTAACATGTCTCAAATTTAGTCTCATAGTCTCTAATATATAGATAAATTTTATTTTCTTAATCATAAAGATTTGATTATTTTATAAATGTCTTTTTTCTTCTGGTTAATTTCAAATAATAATACCTTACTCTTCTTAATAAATAATTATTCCTTTATTAAGGAAAAATTTAAGTTCTATGGTTGATTGGAATTTTTCATTACTCAATCTTTATCTTGAATGTATTTAAGTTACTAATTTCTTATTGAAATGAAAAATGAACTAAATAACTATATTATATATAGGGGAATTATAGACTATTACTTAGTTGATATGTAATTCATGTTTTAGAGATTTTCCACTAGTTTCTTTTATCTTTGATATAATGGTAAAGAAAATCCTTTTTTTAAAATAATGATTACAATTTTCAATAATATACAAATTTAGATTGTTAAATAACTTTTTTATGGTTACTTTCTTTATCAATTTTTTATATCTTAACAAAGTAAACTCTGTACCTTGGATTCTAATTGGCCAGTCGATTCATATTCTGTCTTGGAATTTCTTTTTGATCCAGTAAGTATTGGTCGTTGATCCATGTTTTGCATGTTTGGAGTGACTATTTCTTTACAATAATCACTAAAGGTTTTTATTCAGTTTGCAAAGTTGTTTATTACTGTTGGTTAGTATATTAGTCTAACGCTTTTCTCTTTTAATGTAATTAAAAGACAGTTAACCACGTTGATCTTTAAGGAAATGTTATTTGCTAGAGTTCGTTTAACTTCCTATATTACTTTAAACCCCTGAATAAGTAGTGTTTAAAACAGATTTTGTTGAGAACAATTAATATCTTGAAGTTGGGAACAGTCGATATATACTTATTCACGCTAGAAATTCAGGTGAAAACAATAATGTGAGAGCTTATACGAGAGAGAGAGAGCTGGTGTTCATGCTATCAGAAGTAAACGTCACGTTAATTTGCTTATTACATAATTATTAGTTACACTGAGGTTTCTTAGAGTTGTCTTTTAGAATAATTACGAAACATTCACTGGAAGTAGTGTTAACAAGTTCTAATCTTCATCTATATTAAGCGTTTCTAGATCCTTCTTCTTTCTGCTACTTAGTTTCGTCTTTACTTATTCGTAGAGATACTTGGGCAGTTTTTCCAGTTGTGCTTAACTACTCACACGACGTCCTATCATTATCGACGTTCAGTTAAGGGCAAATAACTTTTTGGATGAAGTTCTTTGCTTATCGGTCATGAGTTATTTACTGCAAACCTTTTTAAATTCACATGGATTTTCTATGCAGATAAATATCTTGTTAATTTCATCATATTCATTTACTGCTACATGTTTTTAAATTATAAATTTATTTTTATGCAATGTATTATGCACGCATCAATCATTCGACCAATTCGTTATGAAAGACTGTTATTTTCATATTAACCAAGTGAACGTTACTTAACAATATTGTAACTTGTGGCCTTGTGCCCCTATCAATATATATACAATGCAATGACGTCGCCAATTAGATGACAGTGGTTTATCGATCGGACCAATTACGCCTAAGCCCGTAAGAGCAGTCCAGAGTTCTTGTCGGTCCTTATTCCTGCCTAGCCCTGCTCGATGAGTTCAAAACACCAATCTCAGCCTCTGCGACGTGAATCATGTATTCCAAACATACTGAGTTTATATACAAACCAAACAGACTACATCGCACCACAAAATAGAGAACAACATTTGTACAAGATCTAGCTAAAAGTGACTGTGAATGTGGAAGACTGTAACTAATAGATTGGGCATAAATCGAGAACGGTAAATCGTATAAGAATAGTCTATGGGTCAAAATAAAGTTTATAATAAGAGGAACACGAATATACATAGTTTAGCTACTTAACAATTACACAATGAAAATATATGTATCGTATTGGTTCATAAAGAGTTCTCAAAAGTTACCATTCATAATTCTCGGGATATAACAAGTAACATATGCATGCCTGTTACCCCTCGTGGGAGAATAGAATGCCTACCAAGATTCGACAACCAACTCTGTCTTTGGCCCCTCCCTTTCCAGTTGCTCCCAACTACTATTCATTCTTCTCATGTCTGCCTCCCATTCCCGACTCAGTGTGTTCCTTGATCTTCCTCTTTTCTGTTTACCTTGAAGATTTCAAGTTAAGGCTTGCCTCGTGATGCAGTCCGATGATTTCCACAATGTGTGTTCCATCCATCTCGAGCATATTTCCCTAATTTACTGTTCAGCTGGAAGTTGGTTTGTTCTCTGTCACAGTAGGTTGTTGCTGATGGTGTCTGGCCAACGGATCTGAAGTATCTTGTTTAGACAATTGTTTATAAATAGCTGTACTTTTTATGATGGTTATATTTGTTCTGCACGTTTCTGCCCTGTACAATAGAAGTGTCTTGATGTTTGCATTGAAGATTGTGAGTTGGATGTTGGCTGGTAGTTTTTCTGAGTTCCATGTGTTCTTCAACTGTAGGAATGGTGCCCATGCTTTGACAGTCTATGCTTTCACATTTGCATCAGATCCTCCTTTTTTATCAATGACGCTGTCCAGCTACTTAAGATGTTCCACGTCTTCCAGAATTTCTCCATCAAGTATGATTGTATTAGTGTTATCTGTGTTGTATTTGAGGATCTTGCTCTTTTCGTTGTGTTTTTATGAAGACCTACTGTTGTAGAGGCTGTTGCTACACTGGCTGTTTTCACGCAAATTCGTTTATGTGTATGGAGTAAAAGAGCTAGGTCGTCTGTAAAGTCCAAATTATCCAGCTGTATTCGAGCTGTTCACTGTGGTCCGTGCTTGCTCTTCTTCACTTGCTTGTTTGCTTCTGTGTAAGGGGCATTTTCTTCTTCATCAAAGTACAGCAGTATCTCTTCTGAATTTAACCTTTACTGTCCAGCTTGGGTCCAATGCGCTTCACTTATTCCGAGCACCATCAAATTGTATCTCCTCATTTCTGTAGCTATTTGACTCGTCCTCCTGGTCTCTCACATTGTTTGAACATTCCATGTACCCATATTAATTGTTGCATTGGTTGTTAGAAGGGGTGTCGGCGTCATGACTCCCGAAGAATCTCGGGTTTCACCATGAGTCGTCATAATTCTTCTAAAAGAAGATCCTCGAACTGTCAGGATAGAGTTTAATTGGTTTAAATTGTTATTCTAGTTAGCGTTTTTTTAGCAAGATTGTTTTCTACCGGATGGGGTTTCTTACCTCATCCAGATTCCTTTTCTTTTACCCGGGCTTGGGAGTTAAGTGAACGTTCATTGAAAGTAAATTAGGTCCCACTGCAATTTCATCTGTAAATTCTATTTTTTGGATAGAGTTTAACATTCAGAGTATATCCGTTCAGATTGTTTTGTGTTATGTGAATTTCGAATCTTTCGACATTTATCCAATCATCCCAGAAATGTAAAATAAAACACCTGTCTAATGTGTCATAGTTTCATATCGCGTTGTGATAAAAACTATCTTAAAAAGTTCAATGCTCTTTCAAAAAAGCAACACATCAAAGTGCAAACAAAATCTACAAATTGATTCAATGTTTTAAAAGTCAATTCCAAGATTGGATACCTTAATTTTACGCTTCCGACTTCTAGAATATTTTGTTACTGGTTGAAATTCTTTCATAACGTACATTGATGTTTTCTGTACTAGAAACTACATAGAACACTTGACTCTCTCTCTCTCTCTCTATATATATATATATATATATATATATATACTCATGACAATTTTTCTGTTTTGTCTAATGTCTTATCTCATTAATGGAATAGGTTAACTACGTTCTTGGACAGCAGTTAATGATTTGGATCTATGGCAATATGTCTACCGACCTGAATCCCATAGATCTCTATTTATTCTCTTGATCTGGACTTTTGAAACTTCCATCATAATTCGTTTCTATAACTGTCTTTGCGCATTGATATAAATGACATTATAGTATCCACAGGTCGATGTTTTGAATCTACTCACTTTCTTTGTTCAATAATTGTGAAACTGTTGTCTTAGATTTTTTTAAAATTTATCCAAGGACAGTATCTTTGGAATGTGCTGTAGAAGTAGTTAGTTCACTACCATTCTGTTATGCTATTTCTTCATGTTTGTGTAGACGCTATCAGCTCTCTATACCTTGCAACTAAGTAGATGTTAGTGTGTACATATAAATTATTATTCCGTCTTTTGAAAATACATGGCATCAATTTATGAATCGTTCTTTTGCCAAGTAGAAAGATTTTTTTTGTCCAACGCAAAAAATTAGATCTTATTTTTTATTATTGACCACCGTCACTGATTTTTACTAAAATGCTAGTAAACATATCATGAGATAAAATATTCACCATTGAGCGATTGTGAATACACATTTAACTTATCCTATAAACATAAATATTACTTTAATTGAAACAAACAATTAATGAATATTGAGTGGTTTCGCAAATTTCGGGTTTGTAAATGTTTATCACAATTGTAATTCAATAAGTTTGTGAGTTGAGTGAAATTTTATCGTTTTGGTCATATTAGATATTTTTACTGGACCATAATGTGTTGTTATATAATCTACACTGATCAATTGTTCTTGATTTATCTTCTTTCAGTTATAAGGTAACCGTTTCAATAAATTACCTTTTTACAATAGAAATAAAGTGGTTTTTGTTCTTATTACATACAATTGATACTTTTTAATGCAAGATATCAGTTTTATTTCTCTCTCTTCCTATCTCGTTGTTTTTTTCTTAATCTCTATTCTCAGTGTTTAGCCTATGTATCTTCAACTCCAGAATTGTCTCCTAGTCAATTGTTTGTAGCTGTTGTGAATAAATTTTACCATGATGCTCAAAAAGATTCAAATCTTCGGAAATCAATAAAATTCACAAATATGATTGTTAAATTCTTACGAAATTATGCAAGTTATTATGTATGTCATATGAATTCTCTTTCGATTTTCATTTAAAACTAAAAGCTGTTTTTTTAATGTAAATCTTCAACTGTTTTCTGATTATTTTTGTCATTCGAGATTTGATTTATTACAGGTTGATGTATCAGTTGTTAACAGTAAGAAAAAACACACTCAAATGTAATGGTTTATTAGTACGATATGGACAATCAACTTCCCCCTATGTTGAATTGTTGGTTAAATTTTTAACCTTTCATCGATGGATCCAATTCCAGTAAATAACATTTCTTTGCTAGTTGTTAGTTTAATGGAAATCCTAGTATTGAACTCCTCAGTAGTGCGTATCCACGATCCTGCACGCAGGAATCAAACCTAGGACCTTTGGTCTTGTGCGTGAATGCCTAACCTCTGAACCGAAATCAAACGGTGTTAAGGTCTAACTCCAACCAAATCAAGATTTCAGTCGTGGTCTTACATTAATCGTTTCATGATTTTAAAGAGATATTGATTAGTTAAGATACTCTTTGTTTCTCAATGATGAATTGTACAAAGTTGATCTACTACATTATTGTTATCATCTAGCTATTATTGTTGTATTTTATTCTACTCTATAATGTAAATATCGTAGATGTTGCGCAACTGAATAACAAATAAAATTGTCATATATTGCACAAACATAAAGTCACCAATAATTCTAATACATTTTTCTTTCCTCTTATCAGTGTTTCATTCGCCTCAACTTATATCTTATTATATTTTTTACCTATCACTATTTATTTCCCTGAAATGTTTTTTTGTTACTATGTAATGTCATCTATCTTGAATTAATTAACATATTTTAGTTTATATATCCAAATTATTTAATAAATAAGTATCTTATATACATCTTTGCAATTCTGTGACTCAATATGAAATCTTTTTAAAATAATTCATTTAAACATAACCAATATATCGCATGTTCAAATTTTCCCACATGAAATATGATTACTTGGGTTATTACTAATAAAAGTTTGAAGTAAATTTGATTTGATTTCATAATATTGTCTACTTGCTTCTAACCATTTTTCTAAAAAAAAATTTTATCATTTCAATTTTTTACAGCCATCATTACAATATCCAGAGGAATCTCAAATTATTTTGAAACAATTGGCAAATGAGAATTCCACTTTTCTCCGAAATACATTAAACAATTTTGTTTGTTAGAAAAAACTAATGTTTCTGTGCAAATAATTTCTGTACTATTCATTAGAAAAATGTATCTGGTGAAAAAGCTGATTGCCTTTTTGTTTTCTCTTTTCCCAATAATAATAATAACGATTCACATTATTGAATTCAATTCTGTTTATTTTAGCTTTTGAATATACCTACTTGGGACAATGAATATTGGTGATAAATTTATTACTAAATTGTTAGATATGAAATTACAAAGAGAAAATGTATACAGGCAAGATTAATATTATTTTTAAATTACATTGAATATAGTTTAATTTTAATAGGATGCTGATTGTATTCTTGTAGCTTGACACACAAAAATCTGGTTACATATAGGTAGACATACAATAACTACTTATTAACTATGTATTCTACAACGATTGATTAATACACTTCTTGAAAACTGTGAACAGTTAGCGATTTATTATGAAGGAAAGAAACAACAACATTGTTTTGCACATGTCTTAACATATAATTGTTGAATGTGCGCAAGGAAGTTAAAATTCGTGAATTTGTTTCCTTATTTTTTTAAATAGTTTTCACAAGTAGTATGTGTGTGGTTTTAAGCAGTAACACTTTCTGTATAAAGGAATTTGTTTTGAATACCGAAGTTTGCGCTTGTAGACGTTAAAATGTGTCACATAAAAGGATTATACTATTTTCAAGTTATCAGTTTTGTCTAATATATTCTATTGACAACTGTAAGGGTTCACCATTTAGATGTGACTTTGTGAATTTCTGCAAAATTAGTAACTCCTAGTATTATTGTTTTTAGTCATATACATCATTTTATTCAGTCGAAAGGTTATTATAGAAGCTTATTTTCCATCAGGCATTCGACATTTCATTACTGTAATGACAGAAAACTTGAAAATTTTGTGACTATAATGTAATAGTGCCTGTCACTGGAATCTATACTTTTTACTGTAAACTCAGAATGTAATCTCTTATGTGATTTTTTTCAGAGGTGAACGCGTGTTCTTGCCTAATCCACGAACTATTTATGGTGGTGAGCTCATGGCTCAAGCTTTAATGGCTGCGAGTAAAACCGTTTCTAAAGATTTCAGACCGAATAGCCTGCACTGTTATTTTCATGACCGATGTAAGTTAATTAGTAATGTGTTTTGTAAAAATGTATCATGGGGCGATTTTAAGCCAACAGAAAAACTCTATTCGATAATGATGTAAAGGATTATTTTCGATATAATTCCTTAGACTTCGTCTATCAATCTTCCTGATAACCTTTATTAAATAAATCACAAAGGTGTATGAATTTCAGAAAAAAACACAAATGACCGACTACAACTTATTATTAAAAAGCAGAGATCGCTAAGCCACAAGCTCATCAAGTTAATTCGGGCATTATTGCAAGCACGAGCGATTACAGAGACGAATCAAGAGTCGAATGAATTAATAAGATTCAAGTATATATATATATATATATATATATATATATATATATATATATATATATATATATATATATATATATATATATATATATATATATATATATATATATATATATATATATGTTACATATGATGCATGATAATATACAACTTGTTAGTATTTGAATAACACTGTCTGTCAAACAAGTTAATTGAAACGCTCAACAAAATTAAACGTAAACAAACTTCAGCGTGGGAAACGTGCTAGGATGTAACAGTTTTTTAATCATCTATTATTTCAAATTATTATAAGTGGGGACCACTTTTATTGATTTTGTGTATCCATTTTTTCACTTTTCATACAAACGGGAAAGCATTCGACAATAGGTTTTTGCTAATTCAAACATCTTCACACTTCAGTACATTGTTGATACCGTTTGCATCAGTTATAATTTTGTCTTCGCTTTATGTTTAGAGAAGCTCAGCGTTCTAAGTGGTTGAAATGATAAAAAAAACTGATATTTTCGAATGTCTTTGGATATAATTTTGTGCCCTTACTGTGGTTGATTAACATCCACTGACAGTGGTTTTCAGAAAAGATAACCTCTTGTTGCGTACTATATAAATGCAGTAGATTTTAATTGTTTCAATCCTTGACCATTTTTATATACTTTATCGTAATTACACAAACCTCTGACTATCTGTGCTTTACTGTTCAATGTAGCGTATGTGTTAGAATATCTGATGCTCAGCCACCATATTTGTTATTAACGTAGAAAAATGGTTGTTTTTGCCATTATGATGCAACATGCATTTCATTTGATGTATGTTTTTACTGTCTAGACAGCTCACTGTTTCATTAGCTATTAGGCTTTGACTAGAAATCGTAATCGCAGTTTTTAAGCTGTACTTGTATGAAATCCGGTGAAATAATTTAACTTTTTATTCATTGACTTATTTAGTTTTTTGTATTGAAAAATCTTTGTTTAATATGAAATTCCCGTTTTGCTTTTCATCAGTTCTATTTAACACACGAGTACTTTAAAATCTACGGTAACGGTATTGTAAGAAAATTCGGTCAGCCTGAAACTAAGTTTTTCAATACAAAGCATCTATAATTAATAAGAAATTTGCATAAATTTTTCAATATCTTTTTGATTTAAACAAAATTCACGGTGGGTTTTCTCTTACTTTAAGCATATCAAAGGAAACAGTGGTGGTGGGGATATGTGCAACCTAAAATGACGGTTAATAATTTGTTTGTGGAGTTCTTCAACTTCCTAACATCAAATCCTATGATTTGATTCGACTTTCTATTCTCTGCATTCCGGATCGCGATAAATTAAGTAAAATACTAATTGTAATGATGTGGCAAGTAGATTTAAAGATGTAGTCTTATTTTTTGTAAGAAGAAAGGTGTTGGGGAGAGCAAATGTATTCCTTGAAATAGTCCAGAGGGTCCCTGAAGACACTGTGAAACATTTTATCCCATCAGCGTTGAGTAGAAGTTTCTCAGAAAAATCTAGAAAGTAAGGTCACGAGTCACATTTCTGACTGGATGGTTACATATCCTTCTACTATGTTTCGTATAGTTCCAGATTCTTCCGGAAGCCAAAGGCATTCTGAAATACTATAAATACCCTCGATTTTCTGTTTATGGATTGACCTTGGAAGAAAGCATCCTCTCCACATTTTGCGCTCTTTCTCCGTGTTCACATTGTCGTGTAGATTTAGCCTGAGACTATTAGAAGAGCTTAGGAAACCGATTCAAGCGTCCAGTTAAAAGACTTATCAGTTAACTGTCACGTATCTGCCCAAAAATCCAAACTTATGTTTCTTTTCACTTGTTTTTATCACTGCAGAAACATTAGAGTAATGAATTTAGTACTTCGCCACGGGAAAAATTTTGAAGTTATTGACTGAAAAATGTCAGCGAGTTGATCAATTTGCGAAACGGTTGCTAAGATTTGAGTTACATAGTGATTATTCTTTTGCGTTTTCCGTCCAGCGTCTTTGGTTGTATAAATTATTAAATAATTGATGTTTCTCTCAACTATGTAATGTAGGTCTGTGACTTTGAGTTGTGGATGACAAAATATACGAAATTGATGGTTGGATATTTTCAGTATCATCTCTCAAAAATAACCAGGATATAATTGGATATTTCCTCTGTCTTTGGCTTTTGATTTTAAATATATTAATCTATAGCCATCTTTTTTTCTATAGTTTCATTTTCCTGTTGATTTGCTCTGATATTCTTTTTACTTTTAGAACATGCTTTTGTTATTCCATATCAGGGACTGGATCCTGTTTTTCTTTCATTTTTCCGATTTGCTGATGCTCTAATTTGTTTTTTTTCAGCAAATGTACTTGAACCGAATGATTACTATGTTACAAAACTTCGTGATGGACGTTCATTTTGTCATAGATTAGTTGAAGCTTTTCCAATAAATAAAAGTGAATCGGATTCAATTACTCCGTATTTTCGCATGGATTGTTCATTTAAAACACCTGAGAAGGATGCTGCATCCTTTTTGTCTCCCATGCCTAATGTTCCGTATGTTGAAAAACTCCAAGATTTTAATTCATATGTGAAATCACTGGATTTGTAAGTTCAATGTCTGAAACTTTTGGTTGCGATTTTACTTTTTCACTCACGTCTTTTACTCCTTGTGGGAGAATAGAATGCCTACCAAGATTTTACAACCAACTCTGTCTTTGGCCCCTCCCTTTCCAATTGCTCCCAACTACTATTCATTCTTCTCATGTCTGCCTCCCATTCCCGACTCAGTGTGTTCCTTGGTCTTCCTCTTTTCTGTTTACCTTGAAGATTTCAAGTTAAGGCTTGCCTCGTGATGCAGTCCGATGATTTCCACAATGTGTGTTCCATCCATCTCGAGCATATTTCCCTAATTTACTGTTCAGCTGGAAGTTGGTTTGTTCTCTGTCACAGTAGGTTGTTGCTGATGGTGTCTGGCCAACGGATCTGAAGTATCTTGTTTAGACAATTGTTTATAAATAACTGTACTTTTTATGATGGTTATATTTGTTCTGCACGTTTCTGTCCTGTACAATAGAAGTGTCTTGATGTTTGCATTGAAGATTGTGAGTTGGATGTTGGCTGGTAGTTTTTCTGAGTTCCATGTGTTCCTCAACTGTAGGAATGATGCTCTTGTTATTAACGCTAATAAGTTTATAGTTATGATTATGTATGTTTCTTATTTCTCTATCTCTCTGTAAGTGAGGTCGGAAATCGGAGAAATGTTCCTTTTATTCATTTAATACTAACGATTGATTTTCACTCATGGACTTCTGAAATACTGACTCCTATCTAAGAATAACTGGACATTGACATATTCAGGCCTGTCATGATTTTTATTGTACTAAAAATATTCTGCATTGTTTTCTTTGTACTATTTAGAATTGTGTTAATTTATTTTCTCTGAATAAGTGGCTTACGTTAAGTCACGAAATGTCAGAAATGCAATTTCGCTACTTATTTGGGATATAACAAAAAAATTATTGATTATCATGTTTGATTAATGTTTTTGACAGCATTTAAGAGTTCGTACTCTCATATGCGCACTGTATGTCCATAGC